TCACCCCTCCTCCTCTCTCTCTTTCTCTTTCTCTTTTTCTATCTCGAAGAAAAAAAAAGAAGAAAGAAGGAAAAAAAAGAGAAAGAATTATTCAGACCACTCCTTCCAATCTTGATCTTTTCTATTCACGGATGTACATACAAAATTGACAACTTTGACCTGAGCTCTATGACTCTCTCTCCCTCTCTCTCCCTCTCTCTCTCTCTCTCTCTCTCTCTCTCTCTCTCTCTCTCTATCTATCTATTTATCTTTCTAACAATAAATAAAAATAGAAAAAAATCCATATTATATAAATGTATCATCTTTCTAGTAACTCTTTCTCTCTCTAATAATTATTTCAAAAAAAAAATTCAGCTTTGAAACATCAAAGTTGAATCATTCATTCAAGTGAAATTAAAAGAGATAGAGAGAGAGAAAGAGAGAGGGAGAGAGAAAGAGAAAGAGAGATAGATAATAGAACGTTAGAGCGAGAAAAAAAAAAGTATCTAAGGGTGACGAGGATCAAAGGACGGAGTGGACTCATTCTTGTTGCTTCGAGGCAAGTAAGGTTAACCAAAGTGGAGGGATGCTGGGAGTATCTATCTGTCTCACTCTTTCTCTCTCCTTTTCTCTCTCTCTCTCTCTCTCTCTCTCTCTCTCTCTCTCTCTCTCTCTCTCTCGCTTTCTTATGCAAAGCTGACCACACACAGTGCATCTTGGTGCGAGCCGTGAGAGCATACCGAGAGATCTTTGAACAAGTAAAAATGATTTTAGTAATCACGAGGTTCAATGTACAACTTATATACATATAACAAGGAAGTCAATAGATATTATATATATATATATATATATATATATATATATATATATATATATATATATATAATTATTAAATTAAATAAAAAAAAAAAAAAAGAAGAAAGGTAAAAATAAAATAAAAGCAATGCGAAAAATACGTCGTACAGTGTTCCAAGAAAAGAAAAAAAAGAAGGAGAGAAAAAGTTGATCGAAATGTAATAAAGAATTAGAAACAATCGACTAATACGATTCTGGATTTGGTTTAGGAAAGACGATCGAAATGATTTCCCGAGGCGAATTGTTACGCGAGAAAAGCCCTGCTCGTGATGAGTTGTTACACAACGTGATTAGCCGTATAATTGATCTAATTGCATCAATGCTCGTCGTCGTTGGCTCCCTCGAATAGCCGGAACGTTCATAACGCTTCGTTTCAAGGTCGATCGTACCAAAGGCGCTAAAGAGGATGCTGCATGTTCATCTCTCTCTCTCTCTCTCTCTCTCTCTCTCTCTCTCTCTCTCCTCTCTCTCTCTCTCTCTCTCTCTCTCTCTCTCTCTCTCTCTCTCTCTCTCTCTCTCTCTCTCGTACGTTCAATGTGATTATCGAAGAAACGAAAAACAACATTTCACATCGCAATCAGTAAACTTCCTTCTCTCATAATGTTTCTTTCTCTTTCTCTCTCTTCAATTCTTTTTTATTCTGTCTTTCTTTCTCTTTCTATCTCTTCCATTCTTTTTTATTCTGTCTTTCTTTCTCTTTCTATTTCTTCCATTCTTTTTTATTCTGTCTTTCTTTCTCTCTTTTCAATTCTTTTTCTTTTTTTTTTTTTTTTTATACTGTCTTTCTTTCTCACTTCCTTTCTGTTTCTCTGTCTCCGTTCGTACATACGTCGCAGCATCGACGCATTCCTTCCTTATCTCTCGCTTCAACCTCATCGAAGTCTTGCTTGGTTGAGCTCTCGTTAGGCTAATTCCACCGTGAGATATGTGTATACCGTTTCTATGAGGAAGAAAATGCTCTAAACGAGCTTGTAACCGTGATTAAGTATGTATATATGTGTATATATATATATGTGTATACACACACACACACACAAACAGAGATAATGAATAAAAGAAAATAATCATTACGAAGGGAAACAATATTTTTCGAACGTCGAGATTTTTTTTTTTATAGCGATCGTATTAAAAATGATCGAATTAGACGTCGTATTATGTGAAGAAGTTCTATATACTAGATCTTTTTAAAAAGAAATGTAAAAGAAAAAAAAAACAAACAAAAAAAAAACAAAAAAAAAGAAAAAAAGAAACAAAAAAAAAGAAACAAAAATTGTGAAACCATCTTATAAGACAAATATCATACGACAAATTTTCATAGAGAAGTAATCGCATTAAAATTTGTTTTTATGTAAAAGATATCATTAAAAAAAAATATTTCATACGAAATAAAAATTGGACGATAACTACTCATAGGGGGAAAAGAAATAAAAGAAAAAAAAAGAAAGAAGAAGAGAGAAGGAAAAAAGAATAAAGTTCAATTGAGAAAGAGCATACTTAAAATATTATAGAAGAAGAGGGGGATGAGAGAGGGAGTACACAGAATTTTTTTTCCTTTGGCTTCGTCAAGAGGTCGAGGTAAACCACCGGAGAGAAATGTACGAGATGATGTAATCGAAATAGCAGCAGACGAGTGTGAAAATATCGAATCTTTTATATCTCCTTCATTCATTCCTTCTAATTCTTCTCTCTCTCTCTCTCTCCTCTCTCTCTCTCTCTCCTCTCTCTCTCTCTCTCTCTCTCTCTCTCTCTCTCTTTATCTCCCTGGTCCTTTAATAATTATTATTAAAGAGCGATGCGAGAAATCCAATGCGATGTGATAAAATAACTCAAATGAAATTCTTTTACGCAATGCGTACACACACACACACACACATACACACACATACAAATACATTCGAATGAACGATTCAATATTTCTCATTTCTGAATATGAGAAATGATATATAAACGTGTGACCATACATAATACTATCATAGACAGGCAGAGAGACAGACAAAGAGAGAGAGAGAGAGAGAGAGAGAGAGAGAGAGAGAGAGAGAGTGAGAGAGAGAGAGTGAGAGAGAGAGAGAGAGAAGAAAGGCGGTCCATCTTCCATATAACCAGTTCTAAGAACTTTATTGCACCTTATGCTCGCGAGAATCAATGATTAAAACATAAAATCTTCAGACCGGTATTATATTTAATTATAATATCTCGAAGAAGACAGCGACAATGTTTCTAATACGTATACAATTATATTTAATTATAACGTTAAAATATTAGTTTTAAAAAGTTGATTAGCAAGTAAGTAAAATTCTCGATATATAATTTGTTCAATTTGGCTTTTTACTTTTTTTTTTTATCACGAATCAATGATAAATAAAAATATCTGGTTTGTAACATTAATCTTTCAAACGTGTTGAATTGGAAAACAATTTATTATTTCTATATTTCTAAGAACACGTATCTCCTAAGCCGGGATACCTATGTACGTGATTTATGAAACAAATCGGTGAGGATTATTCTATCCTTAGCTTTCTCTCTCAAATTTTACGAATGATTATCATATTTTAAGGTTTTTAACATATCGAGGATTTCTCTTCGTTCCTATCTTGGATTAAAAGTGTTAGAATGGTGAAAGTGTGCAATCTTAATCGAAAAGAGCGCAAGGAAACAAATTTTGTTTTTAGAGTTACAGAAATACCCTGACAATCAGCCCAACTAAGAAGAACATTTGGCAGATTCCTTTAAAGGGATCATCGAGAATCCTAAAAACTTCAGTTCATTCTTACTGACATTCTTTACCTTTTATGAGGATTCGGCTTCTCGTTTTAAAGGGAACGATTCGTTTTATGCTAATTGCTCGCAAAAGTTGAAAAAGGATGAATGTCAAATCTTAAATTTTAATCTTTACAGGAAAATCGATGAATTAAAATTTTCCATCGTTTACTTTCTAATTTCACGTTTAGAATGAGATAATTTTTAATTTTTATATTGTAAAAATTAAATTTCTACATTAAATGATTTATCTCTGTCGATAACTATAACTTTTAAGTAATTTTTTTTATCGTAGATCGATAAAGTAGATCGCGTGATTATCGATGCATGATTTACCGATCGTAGTTAAACATTTTTTAACGTTTAAAGAATTTCTTTTTATAAACACTTTTATCGATTATATATATATATACATTTGTTAATCCTCGCTCGAATTAATAACAATTTTTTTTTCTTACTTTATTTTCTTTCTTACAGAGTACAAGTTTTCGATGTATACGCCTAGCATGATAGCAGCTGCGAGCATCGCAGCAGCACTTCATGGACTCGATTGGACTGGAAAGAGCGGTTTTGGATTGCGGGGCCTTTTTGATGAGCTTACTCGCATCACGGCTATTGAACAGGTTTGTACGCTCACTATTCACGATTTTACGTTACTCGATTTGATCGTTTAAACTTGCCCGCGCATTTATTCGAATATAACAGACGCCATATTAATCAAGATGGCGATAGCGAGTACATACACAGAAGTACACTTCGAAGTTTTGTTCAAAAAAGAAATTTCCATGTTTCTTACAAAACCTTTTCCTTCATTTTTTCTATATTGTTATACAATTAATATTCCAATCCTGTAATTAATAATAATTAACGGTCAATATCAAGATTATAGAATTGGATATTATAGAATTAATATGTTTCGATGTGAGTCTTGATTAATTCGTTTAGCAGGGTACTTTTTTTTTTCTTTTTTTTTTTTTTTTTTTTTTTGAAATGGAAATCACAGGATACGACGGTATAGTGACCTTCGACCTGGAGCACAAGCTGCCTTAGAAAATTTATTATCAAAACGTTTGCGTGAGAGTTGCTAGACGTAGGACAAAAAGTTGGTTGAAGAGAGGGCGGGAGAGTTGCAGGCGAAAGAGAGTGTGTCGATGATGGTAAAGTAGTAGCAGCAGGTGCCGGGCACATGTTTACGCAAAAAAAGGTCGGCAAGATGGGTCGAAAGAGCGGAAAAGCTCAGAGAGAGAGAGAGAGAGAGAGAGAGAGAGAAAGAGAAAGAGAGAAGATATACATTCGTAATAAGTGAATATAAATAAACTGCACGAATGAATGGACCTCGGCATGAGGTCCATGGCCTCACATGCGAGCACATGTTTTTCGGCGTATATGTCTTCTGTTTTCAGAGAGAGAGAGAGGATAATCTTTCTCTCTCTTTAACCGTCTTAGAGCTCATCTGCCTCCGGTTTCATTCATAA